AATCCAAAAAAGTTAAATCTGGTCCTCTGGACATTCAAAAAAGCAAAAAACAAAACAAAGCAAAAAAATCTAGAAACGTTTCGTCTCTCGTCCAAGAGACTTCTTCAGTCTGAGGTGCTGTATTCAGCTCAGTCTCCTAAATAGCACCTTCTCAGAGTGGATCAACCAGTTTGCTGCTGACAACCAAAACCAGCTGATCACATGCTCAAGAAGGACCATCAGCCTAACAATGGGTCATTAGCACACTGATGGCTGTTTACTACTCACAGAGGGCTGAGTGATACTAGCAATCACAGCATTGTAAGAGGGGGACAGTTGAACCCGGAGGCCTCCACCTCTGTTTAATGATGGACGATTTCTTTTCACAAAGATGGCCTCCTTTACTCCTCTCTCAAACCATCGTTCCTCTCTGTCCAGGATGTGCACATCTTCATCCTTGAAAGAGTGACCGCTGGCCTGGAGATGAGTGTAGACCGCAGAGTCCTGGCCTGATGATGTTGATCTTCTGTGCTGGGCCATCCTTTTGGCCAGTGGCTGTTTAGTTTCCCCGATGTAAGACTGATCACAGCCCTCCTGACACTGAACAGCATACACAACATTACTCTGTTTGTGCCGGGGGACTGGATCTTTGGGATGAACCAGTCTTTGCCGTAATGTATTTTGGGGTTTAAAAGCCACTGGGACGTTATGTTTAGAAAATAAACGTCTCAGTTTCTCTGATACCCCCTCAACATACGGAATGACCACTGGTCTGGGTCTGGGTTCCTCCTTTTCACCTGATGGCTGACTGGAGTCCTGTTTGGGTTTCTTCTCTGCTTTCAGGAAGGCCCAGTTAGGATATCCACATTGCTCTAGAGCCTGTTTTGTGTAGGATTTCTCCTTCTGCCTGGCTCCCGAGCTAGTGGGGATGCTGTCTGCTCTGTGATACAGAGTCCTGATGACTCCTAACTTGTGCTCCAAAGGGTGATGGGAGTCAAACTGCAAATACTGGTCTGTGTGGGTGGGTTTGCGGTACACCTCAGTTTGCAAATGTCCTCTATCAGAGACTGAGACCTCACAGTCCAAGAAAGCCAACTTGCCATTTTTTACATCTTCTCGTGTGAACTTGATGTATTTATCCACAGAGTTGATGTGGTCAGTAAAATGTTGGACTTCCTGCGATTTAATTTGAACCCAGGTGTCGTCAACATACCTGAACCAATGACTTGGTGGTGTCCCTGAAAAGGACGTCAAGGCTCTCTTTTCTACCTCCTCCATGTACAGGTTGGCAACAATAGGAGAAACTGGAGACCCCATAGCACACCCATGTTTCTGCCTATAATATTGCTCCCCATATGTGAAGTAGGTTGACTGCAGGCACAGTTTCAAGAGTTGACACAGTTGTTCTGTGGAAAGCGTGGTCCTGCTGCTCAGAGTGGTGTCTGATTTTAATCTTAAACTGACCACCTCTACTGCATCATCAACAGGAATGCACGTAAAGAGTGATGTGACATCAAAAGAGACCATTGTTTCATCAGTCTCCATGATGACATCCCTCACCTTATCCACAAAGTCCATGGTGTTCTGTATGTGGTGTTCTGAGCTGCCAACTAAAGGGATGAGTACAGACGCCAGATATTTGGAAACATTGTAAGTGACAGAGTTAATCATGCTAACAATTGGTCTTAAAGGTACATTTCTACATTTTTTTATTTATTTTGTTTTGTTTTTTTAATGTCCAGAGGACCAGATTTAACTTTTTTAGATTTTTCTACCTGGATTATTGAGCATGCATCAGGATATTAATGTGATTAATTTAAGTGATTGTTTAGTTATTTTATATTTTTTTAAATATGGGGCAGATCTAAAAAATTTTTTCTTCTTTCTGCTCTCTTTCATTCAATGTTTTATTTTTTTTATTTTAAATGAATGAATAAATGAATTAAAATAAAATAAAATGTTAAATGGCTGTAAACACCTGCTAAGTTCATGGCATAAACCAGTGCTTCTCAATTATTTTTGGTTACGCCCCCCCTAGGACGAGGTAAACATTTTGCCCCACCCCCTCTGCCACAACTGTAAATAGTATAATTTGTCTAAAAAATTGTTATAAATACACCTCTGCATAACATTGTACCCTTATTAACAATAATTAAATAAAGAAAGAAATATAGATGGTATGGTATAAAGTTTATTCATTTTAAAAAAGTACAAAACAATTCCATAACAATATAAAAAAGATACAAGAGATTTAAAATGAAAGGCAGCAGAAAGAAGAAAAAATCTTATTATATCTGCCCCTTTTTTCAAACAATTATTTCATTCATAATAATCTTCAAGTAACAGAACAAAATGAATAACTTTCTATTTTTTCTAATTCTAATACAAAACACACTAAGCTACTTCATATATGTATATTTAGATAGCTCAAGTTATAACAAAGATAATTAACATTGTTTTATAGTCTGTAACAGAAAAGACTTAAGCGCAAGAGTGAGCGAGCTGGTTGGGGGTGGGGGGAACACGCTCACAAGAGAAGAACCTGACAAGTTGTTTAATGACATAAAATATATTTTGTTAGCAAAGAATAGAGTCCTAACATTTGTTAAACATACGTTTTTATAACAAATTAAACAAACAAAAAAAAACTTGTGCTTTGACAATCGATAAAACTAAAAAAATGTTGTCAACGTGAAAGAAGAAAGAGAGGGCGGGTGTCGCTCTCGCTTTGCCTTTATACTCTTTGTTGCAGCGTGCTGTGGGTGAAATGCATCCAGAGCGGAGGACTTGTTAGTAAAGAATAGAGTTCTAACATTTATTAAACATTACTTCTGTATTAAAAAACACACAAATTGTGCTTTGACAAACTAAAAAAAAAATTATTAACGTAAAAGAGGAAGAG